GTTTTTATCTGGGAAAACCTCTAGTTTCACGAAGAGGTAATAAATAACAAAACTCAAATTCAGAACAAAATTATAGGAACATTAAAATCAAATTTGATTGAGAAACACAATTTTCAGATTTGGTTACGATGCTGATAAGTGAATAGTGAGTCAAATGACTATACTTCTGGAGAAATAACAGGGTAATTTTTATCTCAATGTTTGCCCTAATTCAAATTTTAACCAACATAAAAATCAAAATTTCATGAACCCAAAAATTAGAGTTGGCAGATACGTAAATAGGAACTCTCATCTGTATGCACAAACACAATTCAATGAAAAAATTGAGGACGAATAGGAAAAAACAATGGAGGGAAAAAAAATACCTTAATGCTGCAACAACACGGAGAAAGTTGAAGATGAGAAATGTTTTGGCAAAGGAACAGAAAAAAAGGAAATTCGTAGAGACAGAGATCTCCATGAAAGCATATAGGGATAAAGCTCAGGCATGGAAGCCACGTATAAAAAATGGGTGACCAACGTGGAAACAAAATAGAACTGTGTAGACATGAATGTTGAAACAATCCTTTTCTAATATAAGAGTAATATATATAATATTGAACAAATTGTATATTATAAGTTTTGTATAAACTGAGTTTTATAAATCAAATAAGTTGTTACGTATATCATATTTGTATTTGAAGTATATAAAGCATACTTGTATGTGTCTTACAATTATGAAATATATACAAATAAAACATAACTATAATTTTCAAAATTGGATGAATGAAATTTTCAAAATTTTAATTTTAGTTCAGTTAAGTTATTTTGAGGGGAAGTGAGAAATTTTAGTTAGTAGGTGTGATAAGAGAGAAAATGTGTTTTAATTTATATAAAAGATGAAAGAAAAACTAACACGTTTTGATAATAAAAAAACAGTGAAATCATCATATATCCAATTTCTTTAACTAAAATCATTTTTTTAAAATTAAGTTAAACTATAGTTATGAAGCATAATTAATTATTACTATATATATTAGTTTAGTTATATAATTCCCCCTCCTAATATATCAACCAAACGATTCCTAAAGATTGCGTTTTGCTTCAAATTGTTAAGCTAGAAATTTTGCAAAACTTTCTTAATTTTTATAAAATACATATTTTAATCCGACATCAAAAATGAAAGACTCTTTAATGTTGACAAAATTAGGTAGAATTTTTTTTATTTCTAGCAACCTCAATTTTTTCGATAGGAAGTATTTATTGAATAATGGTACAAAATATTCATAAAAAATCTTTAATTTAATTTTTGAATCTTTAATATTACCTCAACATACTTTTAAAAAAAATAAAAAATCAAACGCCCCTGTTCGCAGCTGGGCCCACTTCATTTTTTTCTAGGTTGTAGGCCCCAGCGCCGACTCCGTCAAATTTCAAGCTAACAAAACTGAGATTCCCATTGGAATTATAAATTTCCATTGTTGTCATCATTCTCTCTCTCTCTGAATTTTTCTTTGGAAGAAGCTCCGATTTCAGGTTCGTCGACTTCTATGGAGTTTTACGTTCTTTGTATATTTGTGTTTTCATCGTTTTTCTCTACTTATAAGTTATATGCTTTCTCATATCTAAACAAATTGCGCTATCTGTTTTATAGGTTTGAAATGTTGGGTCTAGGGTTTGTGATTTGTTAATTCTAAGGCTAATAATCAATAATCGCTCTTCAGTACCAAATTAGATCTGTTTCGTTCTATTAGGTTTATCTGATTCTAATACCTAGTACTTTGACAAATTAGGGTAAAAATTACTTGCTGAACAAAAAGTTCTATCGACAATCGTAGAACCTAGTGGTAGATTTTAAACAATAATTAAGCCTTAAACCTAACTAATTGATGCATGATTGGTGGATGCTGAATGATTTATACTATACAGACATTGTTTTGTGAGAGGTGTACCATACATGGGGAAGTTTTTTGTAGGAGGAGATTTTAACGGACACATGAAGGGTTATGATGATGTGCATGAAGGTTTTTGTTTTAGGTGATAGGAATGTGAGAGGAGTTACACTGTTGGGTTTCGTGAGAGCTTTTGTGGTTTTGGTAGCCAATTTATGTTTTCTGAAGGAGGAGCATTTGGTAAACTTCTGTAGTGTGGTGGCGAGGTCTTAGATAGATTATCCCCTCATTTGGAGGGGTGATAGAGGTCGTTGGGAAAACTGCATGGTGATCAAATGGGGCAATTTGACCATGACCAATGCCCAGGAGATGGGGGAGAAACTGTTGGCGATGGGGGCATAGGGGAGATGTGAGGATGCGAAAGTTATGTGGTATAACTTCTGCTCTCTATCACTAGACATATCTTAGGAGAAAATATTAAGTTTCGGGGAGTAGAATGGATATAGAGGATATGTAAAGTCGATGCCAAACTAGCTTCGAACTAAAGACATAGTTGTACTTGTTGCAAGAATGTGTACAAGAATTTGGTGTGTACACACATGAATAGTCAGACTGGACCATTTTAGGAATAGTCCCCAAGTGTAAGAAGTCACATTAGTAATAGGTTGAGTTAACTTGAGTAAGCCTCAAGGGGAAAAAGTGTTGGGGACTAAGAGCGCTCTCAAGAGAAGAAACCTTTAGTTGTAAATTGACAAATGTGGATATTAATGTTATTTTTTGTTGTCAATGTTGATATCCTGTTTTCTAGGTTTTATAGTTTAATTCTTGTTTTTCAATTTAGCTTTTGAATCCACGGATGTAATTGGTTCACAAGAAAAAGAGGGAAAAGTTATTGCAGATTCTTTTGGTCATGGGAAAAGTTGATATCCTGTTTCCTTTTTTGAATGTCCTTCACACCCCTCCCCCTCTCCGAACAAAAGATAAAGACAGTTTTCAAATATGACGGACCCTCAGATTAAAATGAACTATCAGTCATTTCACTATGTGCTGTGATGGTGTTCCTGAATTGGTGCTCATTGTTAGCTGTAGCCGATTATTTATTCTCTTGCTCTTCTCATTCCAGAATTGCATCAGTGCATTAAAATAGAAGCCAGTCCAGCAGAGCATCATCTCAACATGCCAAAAGACACAAGTGTGAATTCATTTTCCGTAAACCAGTCAAGGGCATCTCCTTATTCTTGCAGCTCAGAGAATTCTGACCTCGACTCCAAGAAATCTCTACCATCAGTTGTGAATAAAAGAGAGTGGGAAGAAGCCAAGTGTCCAATATGTCTGGAGCATCCACACAATGCTGTCCTTTTACTTTGTTCTTCACGAGACAAGGGTTGTCAGCCTTATATGTGTGACACAAGTCATCGACATTCTAATTGCTTTGATCAATTTCGTAAATCATCTGCTGTAGGAGCTCAACAAGGCGAAGGTAATGTATCAGGAGCTGTGTTCCGTGGAGAAAGTTGGGGACAAGCATTATCAGGAGCTTCAAGGTCTCATGTGCAGAAGCAACCTGACCTTACCTGCCCTCTTTGCCGGGGACATGTCGAAGGATGGATTGTTGTAAAGGCTGCTCGTAATTTTATGAACTCCAAGACAAGGAGTTGTGCCCTGGAGGCATGCAATTTCTCTGGTAACTATGCTGAACTAAGAAATCATGCAAGGCAGGAACATCCCTTGGAAAGGCCATCTGAGATTGACCCTATGCGGCAGTCTAATTGGACAAGATTGGGGCTTCAAAGGGAGTTTGAAGATGCTAATGCATATCAAACACACTTTGAAGATGCCAATGCATATCAAACACACTCTGTAGATGACTTCCTAGCAGACCTGCCTCTTGACTTGCCTCTTGACATTGGTCTATTTGACCTTCTAGATAGTCACTACCCAGAGGCTGAGGCGGGATTGGATGAAATGATCGATATGTCACTGGATGTCGAACTTGAGTTCTTTTTCTCTTTCCTGAGTGAGTCTCCATTGGTGCCTTCGGTATGGAATTGGTCTCCAAGCTATACTGGTGGGAGGAGCACCAATCGATCAGAGAGTGGTGCTAGACCACAAAACAGGAGATCTAGAAGACCGGCATCAGATTCTGATAACAATGAACAAAGGCCAACAAGTTCAAGAAACACAAATCTGTTGCCAGGGCACTGAAATTGGTCATGCTTTTAGTGTATGGGTAGAGTTTAGGTCTTGACTTTATGTTATTCATGTTATCTCTCGCTCTTTTAGTACTGACCGTTATAGTCTCGGTCCATGTCTTCCATTCTTTTCTTCTTAAAATCTAAATTCCAACTCTGTTATAAGTGCAATCTTTCTTCTACATATGTTAAAAGGTTCTGTTTTGTATGAAACTTATTAGAGCATAAAACGAGTTATACTTAGTATCTTCCTGCTTTTCCAGTCTGCAATTCTAATTGCAGACATGGGAACTGTCCAAGTGACACTTTTGTTGCATGACAATTTTTCCTGCACTTTTGGGTTTAAATGTTCATTTGACTTGCAAATCCTATTACTTATAGCAGAAGAGAGAATATTAGAATAATGGGTATAATAACAGTTTGGTTGGAAATGTATCACATGGAAGTGTAAAACCTAGATAATTATATGAATCTGATTCTTGAAACTCGTCAAGGTGTTATAAAAATGAAATGGTGTTGTCATGTAAATTAGAATGAATGGAGTAATATCTCATACAGTAAATTGGGAAACGGGTAGTATCTACTAATTTTGTACTTCAACTAAAAATGTCTTAAGAAGTTAGAATTATGAACTTCTATTTAGACTATTAGTTAAGAAGTGGAATTTGTATTGATACATGACCTCTTCTTAAAATGGAATAACTTTAGGAAATTACAAGCAGGTTTTGAAAATGGATGATTTTGATTTCACGGTTAAAAGTCAAAACTTGTTAAACTAAATTTTGTTCAGGGTCAAAAGTTTAAGACTACTCACCGCTAAATAGTTTCAAACATACACTTCTTGTGTGTACATCAAAAACACACCCAACCTCCCTCCCATTCTTGTTGCATGGTAACAGATTAAAGTAACTCAAACCATCAGAATTCTAAATAAACATATATTGAAAGTGAAAACTATTATTGAAGAGTACCAAATGTCAAATTATTTGTGTCTACAAGTGAATGAAAATAAGCAATAGCACACATCCAAAATTTTATTATACAGAAGATCTCAAGGCAAAACTGGAAGACTAAGTCTTAGCATTCACCATAAAGCATACATTATTAACTACATGAAAACTCTATGTACTCCTTCCTGCTACACACCTCATACACTTTTCTTGGCACTGTATAATGACAGAGCTTCTTTCTTCTTCGTCAGCTATGTTGAAAATGAAATAGTTGTAATGGAGTTTATCGTCGTGAACCTTCAAGACCAAGCCTTGCATTTAACCAATTACAAACCTCATCCATTTCCCTTGGCACTGTGTAATGACCAAGCCTGCAGAAGAAGTTGGTAATTCATGTTAATCTTTTATAGACCGCGAGAACGACTATTTTTCTCCAAGAAAAGGAAAAAGGGGTTACCCATCATAGGCTTTGAATTGAAGATTCCTGAATCCAGCAGAGCTCAAGACATAGGAAGCCCTCTCTCCATATCGATAAGGAACAACTTCATCGCCTAACAAGTTCAGATAACTGTGTAAGATGGATATGCAGATTGTACATACTTCATATGAATCACATTACTCAATTTGCACTACAAGTTGGTAACAACAAGACACTTCATAGAATATTGTTTCATCCTTCTAGACAGCTAAATCCTTGCGTAAAGTAGCATTTTAAGTAGTTCAGACATGGGACACTAATTCACATTCCTTAACTAACTAGCAACTTTCTTTTTCTTGGTATCGTGGAATGATAAAAAGATCAAGGTAGACTCAGGACACTCTGTACATCAGATCAAATGTTTAGGTCCTTAAGGACTCTAAAAGACAAACTCTGAAACGGAAACAAACGTCAAGGTTTTATAACTATATTTGCAAGTGAAAGTACATACATTTTCCATGACATAGTAGAATAGGTAAAGATGCAGCACATCTGGCAGCCTCATGTGATCCTTCAATCTTGTTCCTCACATTCCTGCAGAATGTCAGTTGTCAGAATATAAGAGAAAACTTAGGAAGAGAGAATCAAAAGAGCTATAGTTTGAAAAATGATTTGCACACCTGGAACCTGGAAGCCAACCACTGAGGCCTATGACAGCTCTCAAGTTGACAGGGTAAGGGTTTCCATTTCCATATTTCCCGTGGGCAAAGCAAGTCGCTGAGTAGAGCGCAGTGGCTGCGCCCATGCTGAAGCCTCCGATACCAAGTTTAACTGTATAAGACATAGTAATCTGCTAATCAGACAAATAAAACAGTCTGACCAAACAATTTCAAGTAAAAGGACTGAATTTGTTAGGTTTCATCTAGACTCTAGTATGAAAAAGGGAAGGTAACAGAGGAGGATATATATATATATATATATGCGCAACACTATGAGCCTATACGAAGTATTTGGTCGATTTAGCATTCACATGATCAGTAGTCATCAACTTAGTGAATTGATTTTCATACAAATAGTTTTTGTAGTTTTAACAGTCTATAATTATGCATGGTAAAGAAACCTACCATCAGCAGGTTCAGTTGACAATAAGTTTGCAATATGTGCAACGGACGCCTCTAAGCCTTCAAGATCATTAGTAGTGTCATCAGAAAGTTCTCCCGCATCGAACCCTGGAATAAGATGAAGTTCCCAATAAATGGAAGTTATAAAGGTAACTATGTCATAGTTGTCAGGGTCATTCTTACATGCAGTGCAAGGAAATCCACCAAGTATAGCCACGGGACGAGTTGGGGCAGTTGGGCATATCCATTTGATCTGCAAGATCATATAGACAACAATCATCGTCTAGGACGAGTACCATCTAACCACATAAAGCAAAAATGTTATCTGAGTTACACCACTTACATTAGGAAGGGCTAGGCTTTCCAAGAGTTGAGAAGAACTACAAAAAAGAAACAAGCAAATTAGCCGATACAACAAATCAACTTTTCTTCTCTTGTTTTGTCAATGAACTCACACTTCTTTACAAACTTTATTCTAACAATTGGTACAGTAAACTCCACTAAGAAACAGAATATCTGGCTTGTGAGTGATGTGATTATTTTTATAGTTGCTTTTACATTTCGAAAAGTGATAAAAGGAAGAAATAGCAAATAAGTTGTTCTGGTTATTTATATAATATTGTCCATCATGACTTTGTTGTAGATAAAAGTTTGGCTGGAGGAAGTACAAGACTATATAAATGTGACATTCTTTTTAAAAATATAAGGATAAAATGTTCGTCTTAAAAGCAAAAAGGAACCTACCTAGAGCCATTATCTCCGAGGCCATGTAGCCAAACCATTGTAGCCTGGTGTTTTCCTTTAGGCCTCACCACATATGTCCTTCCAAACTCCATCGTCCTCCTCGCCGTCCTACTTCCTGTAATATTGTTAACCAAGTTAATTACTTTGACAAAGATATAAAAAGAGACTACAAATGCAAGAAAAAAGGCTAACGAAAATGCTACTCTCATTGATAACTACCACAATGTCAAGTTGCTTTTTAGAATTTAAAGCCAAAAGGCCTTAAACTTTTATGTTTCTAATCGAAGCAACAAAGGTCTGAATCTCAGTGCATGATGACAGTAAAGCCAAAAAGGCCTTAAATATTAATTATAACCCTTCTAAAGGATGACACAATGCAAAGTCCGTGCGCGAAGAACCTAAGTAAAATAAAAGCTTGTAAGTTGCAAACTAACCAGAGCCCATGGAAGGATTTATGTAACTCATATCTATGAAATGCAACCTTCAATATAGTTTGAAAGGCCACCTCTCTTTACAACAAAATAAACTAAGAAATGATGCTAAGTTGAAGAAAACACAATGTTTTAGTCTCTATTTATAAACAAAGTAGTAGGTCCAAAATGGAATAATAAAACATGTGAATATACAACAACAACTAAGTATGTGTGTAACAGCTGCAAATTGTGCCTAAAAACTCATAAAGAAATAGAAAGAATCAATGAAAAAGAAGTGTAAAACAAAGGAAAAAAAGAGTGCAATCTTTTCAACCGCGTAAATAAGAGAATCAAAAGAAAGAAAAACAAGAAAGAACACAATTCATCCGTTCATTCCCCTTAAGAAATTACAGCATGAAAGAAAGAATCTATGCCATAGAAGAGAAAAAAAAGGAAAACTTCACAACTCCAAGGAATAATACCAACTTGGTATAAAAAAAAGAAAAAAAAAATCTTTCTTTCAATCATTTGTTTATGTATTTTGATGATGATTTGATGGATACCTATTAACTTCTTAAAAGTCTGTAACGGGTCATCATGATAGTTTAAGCGTGTAACTGACTTTTTCCCTTTTTTTTCTTAATAAAAAGAGTGAAGTCCAATATATCATGATTACCACATTGTTATGCATTCAAGAAACGCAGAAATGATCAAGAATTTGAACAAAGTGAGGCATATAGGGCTTACCAACTAAGAATTGTTTAGGTGGAAAGGACAAGACATCTAAAAAAGCAAGTGAACTTTATACCATCTCTCTATTACTTTCTTGATTTGCCACCTATTTGGGTATTTTAGTCCCTCAAAGTCACTTTCATGTGGTTACACAAAGTCTCAAAGTCATCATAAGTTTTTTTGTTTGTTTCTATTGATAGCTGACTCCACAACAGAAGAGCAATTCACCTATCTGTCTGTCATGATGCAGCAGATGATTTTATTGGAGTCCCACTATACAATAGGTTTGAAGTTGGGTAAAGGCTAAAAATTGTTACTTCACCTCTCTCTTGATTGCTCTGTATTCTAAAGATTCCCTTTTGCTGGGGTCAGTCATACATTCTAATTATACATACAATATGTTTAGAAATCAGGTCAATGTGATTATTCATTTTTTTAGTAAGGTATTTTCAAAGGAAGTTTGTAATAACAAGTAATCGTTTATCAAATGTCTATCAAAAATAATTATCAAAATGGATTAGGAATGTGTTCTGCATGATTTACATAACTCTTCGAGTGTACTGTATCAGTACACAATTTTGGTGCTTAGTATGCAAAATGATAACTTTGGTACACTTAAACATCTTTTGACATTAAATGAATGTCACTTCAAATACAATTCGGTCTCTTAATATTTGAATCTTAACCCTTACCTTCATTTTACATTAACTTTACCTTTTATATATAGCTCAAGTATTAGATAAGGGTTTGTAATTTCATATATCCATTGTTACTCCTTTTTCATATTTTATACCTTTTTTATCAAACAAGTTAAGAAGTAAGGCAAATTTTAACGTTTGCAACCATTACGAAGCAATCAATACAAAAGAGAACAATACATGTATGCACACCATTTAAGAATCACTTTTTACTCCCACAAGCTTAATATGATATTTAGCTACTCATATTTGCAAGAAACAATCGGAATTTATGGTTGAAAACATAATTATAAACTTAAAAATTGAATAATTGAAATTCAGAATAGTGAATCATCAAAACATAGTCAATAATCAAGAATCATTGCTTGGAAACCAACAAGAGTAAGTTTACATGCAACAACCCAAAAGTATTCTATTTCAAATATTTATCCTAAACAAGCTAGGAAAGTAGACCTATCAGCAACATACGATCCGGGGTATGTCGGTACGGCTTGTGATCAGCAGATGTACCACTCGTAGTCACCAAAATCCACTCAAGTCCTCCAGTAACTATGCCTCATTCTACGACCCGTACTCAGTGACTATGACTGGCTCGTAGTGTGAGTCGTGGTTCCTGCACCAAGATTTCTCACCCTTTGAAGTGCACCTTACGACTCGTTAGTACGGCTCGTACTTTGAAAGTAGGACTCATACATTGGCTGGTACTATTCGCCAAGGCGCTTATATCACATTTGTCCTGATTGTTTCAATCCATGTAAAGATTTCTGAAGGTTTATCAAATAAGTTTCTTTTGAATTTTTACATACTTTAGGCACTTTGAGTGCTTCAAGAATTTTCATAGAAATATTGTGGTCCAATGAGCCATACAAATAGGTTGTGACAACATCTGTTAGATGTATTTCAAGCTTTTTATATACCGTCAAATTTATCAGATGCCTGAAGGTAATTGCATCTACCATAGGAGAATATGTCTTCTCATAATCAATGTCAGGCATTTGCGAAAATTCTTATGCCACAAGTCATATTTTATATCTTACAACTTAACCATTTTCATTGCATTTTTTGCACAAAAACCCATTTGATCCAAAAAAATTACGTTATTCAAGTGAAGTCAATTTTGTTTGAATTGCTTCCTTCCATTTTAACCAATCATTTTTCTATTAACATTCATTGAAAGATTTTGTTTCTGAATCCTCATCTTGTTTGAATTATTTCAATAGTAGCATTATAGGCAAAAATATGTCAACCACAATATTATTTCGATTTCACTTTTTTCTTATAAAGACATTTTATTGAGATTTCTTCATTGTCATTATTTTTAGGTACTTGGACCTCCTAGGTGGTATCATCATTTGTTATAGAGAAAATGGCCAAAAGCCTCCCTAATCTATTGTTGGATTCTCCACTACACACTCATACTTTACGGGGGGTCCTATTACCCCCCTAAACATTTTAAAAGTGAAATATATAACCCCTTAAATCGTCATAACCAGATATGTGTCTTGTAATGAAACACACGCACTTGACACATGTATTTAACTAGTTAATTATTATTTTTTCAGTTTTTTTTCTCCTTCATCTTCTTTAACCATTTTTTCAACTCTAATTTTTTACAAAGATTGATTTGGGGAAAACATTGGTGAATGCATTGGGGTCTTCCCCCCACCCCTCTTCCACCCAACACCTCCACCTCTGTCTTTATAATCTCCCCCGCCTTCACTGTTACCTTCTTCACTTGTTCAAAAGCTTTTTACCATCGTCTCTCATAAGAATAAAGCTTCGAAAAAGAAATATTTGAGCCACCATCAAAACCATCACAAATCAATTTGAATCCACCACCAAAGAAAAAAATAACTTAATTGGGAGAAGATGCTCGGGTTAATGATTGTGGATGGTGTGCTTGGGAATATTTTACAAATAATGTAACCAAATAAACATAATCTTTCATTTTCCTGGTTCAATTCACCTACATTTTGACACCCACAACCGCAAAGGACTTTCTTTTTCTTTAATTAGACTTGGAATGGTTTAGCCACATTCATAGCTCAGTGCAACGTCTTGCAAATCTGTGTTGTGCTTCTTCTTTTTTTCATAATCAAGAGATTTGAAATTGATAATAATTTTTTGGGGGTTCAATTACATTTGATGTGAACCCAAATTGATTATTCTCAAATCCGATTTGAAGTCTTTTGGGGTTATTGAAGATGGTTGACATTTTATTTTTAGTGAATTTAATTGATTTTGCAAGTATTTTTCATGAAAGCTTGAAATTAACAATGGTGTATCTGATTGCGACGATGGCTGCTTAAGGTTGGTGAATGGTGGAGGACTATATTGTTTTGGGGAAGAAAGAAAATAAATAAGAAAATAATTAAAAATACATATGTTTATGAAAATAATTAAAAATAATCTTTTAGTAATATTTATTTTTGCTGCTCACTCTCTCAAGGAGAGTGAAATACACTCACTTTGCCAGATAAGCGATTAGAGAGGTAATAATTTCATTTTTAAACAGTTCAAGGGGTGGTAGAACCCCCGTAAAGTACGAGTGTGTAGTTGAGAATCCGACAATAGGTTAGATGGGCTTTTGGCCATTTTCTCTTTGTTATATCTTGGGGATCTTCTTGAGTAATTGTCTCCATATTATGATCGTTTTTTTTTTTTTGAGGATTTTATCATTGAAATCGATTGGTCTACCACGTTTTATACGTGGGCTAGACTCATTTATCTTAACAATTTATTCTACTAGGATATCAACTCAAACTTGAACATTAACAACTGGATGTGATTTTGTAACCCGCGGAAGGCTAGTAAATGTATTGGCAGTTGATTTGCAATATTCTAGAAATAAATTATCTTTTAAACTTTTTTCTCATATTAATATGTTCAAGAATCTGAATGAGCTAGTGATAATGAATTTCAATCTATCTCATTTCTCAATTATTTATATTCACCCCTAATGTTGGGTATACTGATTCATTAAAATGACAATTAGTAAATCTTGTCGTAAGTAAATCTCCAGTTCTAGGTTTTAAATATTTTGTAATAGAACTAGATTTATACCCAACATATATTCTCAACCTTCTTTGGAAATCCATACTTGTGCGTTGGGGTGGAGCAATTGGAACATATACCACACAATCAAAGAATCTAAGATGAGAAATATTTGTCTCCTTATCAAAAACCAAGTGCAATGGGAAAATGTCATAATAATTGGTTGGTCTTATATGCACAAGTATTGCTTCATACAAAATAACATGCCTTTATATTGAAACAGACAACTTTGTCCTCATCAATAATGGCCTAGCTATCAATTGGAAACATTTGATCAATGACTTTGTTAGACCATTTTGAGTATGAACATGAGTAATATGATATTCAACTGTTATTCAGTGGGCAAACAATAACCATTAAATGTCTGATATGTAAAGTCATCAACATTATCAAGACAAATTGTCTACATTGCATAATTTGAAAATTGTGCTTTGAACCTTATTATTTGAGCCAACAACCTCGCAAAAGTCATATTGCGAGTTGATAATAAACACACACGTGGCCATTTTATAGATGCATCTATCTAGATCATCTAATATTTAAATGGTTCATATGCAGGGTGAATAGACCTACATATCACCTTGTATCCACTTTATAAATGCAGGAGATCTATTCCAATCTTAGTTATGTAGTTGATGGTTTAATAGAAAGAGAATTTCTTTAATGGAAGAACATTTTAGTTCTTCAAAGTATGTCCATGTAAATTCTTGATTATTATGCGAATCATATTATAACTGAGATGGTCCAACCGGTCATGTCAAATGATAAAATCATTAGAACCAATAAATCTTTTGTTTACTACGATATGTGATTCAACTGTATCAATATTTGTATGGTACAATCCAGAAGAATGTGCAGATAATTTTTCATACACAATTTTCTTCTCCGCATTTATTGTAGTAATATAAAGGTGTTCATCATTTCCTTCTTCACAGTCTTAACATGATAGTCATTTTGGCGAATAACCTTAAAACATAATAAGTTTTTTT